CAGGCCCTAGTTTTGTCACACCTGGACTACTGTTCAGTCGTGTGGTCAGGTGCCACAAAAAAGGTTTAGGAAAATTGCAATTGGCTCAGAACAGGGAAGCACGGCTGGCCCTAGGATGTACACAGAGAGCTAATATTAATAATATGCATGTCAATCTCTCCTGGCTCAAAGTGGAGGAGAGATTGACTTCATCACTACTTGTATTTATGAGAGGTATTGACATGTTGAATGCACCGAGCTGTCTGTTTGAACTACTGGCGCACAGGTCGGACACCCATGCATACCCCATAAGACATGCCACCAGAGGTCTCTTCACAGTCCCCAAGTCCAGAACAGACTATGGGAGGCACAGTACTACATAGAGCCATGACTACATGGAACTCTATTCCACATCAAGTAACTATGCAAGTAGTAAAATTAGATTTTAAAAAATTGATAATAAAACACCTTATGGAACAGCGGGGACTGTGAAGCAACACAAACATAGGCACAGACACATGTATACACACACGATAACATACGCACTATACACACGTACACATGGATATTGTACTGTATATATGTGGTAGTGGTGGAGTAGGGGCCTGATGGCACACAGTGTGTTGTGAAAACTGTGAATGTATTGTAATGTTTAAATAATTGTATGAACTGCCTTAATTCTGCTGGACCCCATCCTGCCCTGCCTTTCGAAAGTATTTGAAAGCCAAGTTAACAAACAGATCACCGGCCATTTCGAATCCCACCGTACCTTCTCCGCTATGCAATCCGGTTTCCGAGCTGGTCATGGGTGCACCTCAGCCACGCTCAACGTCCTAAAAAAATATTACAACCGCGATCGATAAAAGACAGTACTGAGCAGCCGTCTTCATCGACCTGGCCAACCACCGCATTCTTATTGGCAAACTAAATAGCCTTGGTTTCTCTAATGACTGCCTCGCCTGATTCACCAACTACTTCTCAGATAGAGTTCAATGTGTCAAATCGGAGGGCCTGTTGTCTGGACCTCTGACCTCTGCCACAGGGTTCAATTCTCGGGCCGACTCTATTCTCTGTGTATATCAATGATGTCGCTCTTGCTGCTGGTGACGCTCGGATCCACCTCAATGCGGACGACACCATTTTGTATACATCTGGCCCTTCATTGGACACTGTGTTAACAAACCTCCAAATGAGCTTCAACGCCATACAACACTCCTTCCGTAGCCTCCAACTGCTCTTAAACACTAGTAAAACTAAATGCATGCTCTTCAACCGAACGCTGCTTGCACCCGCCCAGCCGACTAGAATCACTACTCTAGGCGGATCTGACCTAGAGTATGTGGACAACTACAAATACCTAGGTGTCTGGTTAGATTGTAAACTCTCCTTCCAGACTCACATTAAGCATCTCCAATCAAAAGTTAGATCTAGAATCGGCTTCCTATTTCGCAACAAAGCCTCCTTCACTCATGCTGCCAAACTCGTAAAACTGACTATCCTACCGATCCTTGACTTCGGCGATGTCATTTACAAAATAGCCTCCAACACTCTACTCAGCAAATTGGATGTAGTCTATCACAGTGCCATCCGTTTTGTCACCAAAGCCCCATATACTACCCACCATTGTGACCTGAACGCTCTTGTTGGCTGGCCCTCACTACATATTCGTCGCCAAACCCACTGGCTCCAGGTCATCTATAAATCACTGCTAGGCAAATCCCCGTCTTATCTTAGCTCACAGGTCACCATAGCAACACCCACCCGTAGTCTGCACTCCAGCAGGTATATCTCACTGGTCATCCCCAAAGCCGACACCTCCTTTGGCCGCCATTCCTTTCAGTTCTCTGCTGCCAATGACTGGAACGAACTGCAAAAATATCTGAAGCTGGAGACACTTATCTCCCTCATTAACTTTAAGAGTCTGTTGTCAGAGCAGCTTACCGATCACTGCACCTGTACACAGCCATTCTGAAATTAGCCCACCCAACTACCTCATCCCCATATTGTTATTTATTTTGCTAATTTGCACCCCAGTATCTCTATTTGCACATCTATCATTCCAGTGTTGATACGAAATTGTAACTATTTTTGCACTATGGCCTATTTATTGCCTTACCTCCATAACTTACTACATTCGCACACACTGTATATATTTTTTCTGTTGTATTTTTGACTTTATGTTTTGGTTACCCCATATGTAACTCTGTGTTGTTGTTTTTATCGCACTGCTTTGCTTTATCTTGGCCAGGTCGCAGTTGAATCAACATGAATTAACTGATAGCTTTCATTACAATTTTTACATAGCAGTGAAAATAAATGTTCATGCCAGGAGAGGTACCGGTACCTGATGCCCACCTGACGCAGATTGCGATTTATAATGGACCGTTTTTGGATTGCATAAACAACAATAGTAATTGTGTGCTGGCGGGTATGCAGTGCTGTGTTCCAAACGAAACGACTACAAGTGTGCTTGCTCTAGTTCCTCAGTGCCAAAGCTAGGAGAGCTAAACAAGTACCTTATAGTTGAAGCATTTTCTTTGAGTCATAAAAGTGCATTAAAATGGCTCAGGAACTGTGCACTCTGGAGAGGTGTGTGGCCACTTGTAGACACCAGTTAGTCCTCTCACTCAAACCCATGTAATTTTGTTGTCTTATGTTGCACCTACCCCACATTTTAGTACAGTAAAGTACAGTAAATGTAAAATGCCCATAAAATCAACAGTGTAATGTTTGGATTCAGTCTTATGTCAAGTGAACTGTTATGTACTCACCTTTGGTCTAATAATTTTCCCATTATCTCCAAACTTTTCCCTTTCAATTGCTACCATGGTTATGTATTTTCATATTTCTTCTTTAAGAAACATTTACGTTTAGCCCTATCCATATAGGCCAATTCCCACGAGTGTAAAGGGTTAACAGAATATACATTTTTATAAGTACGATTTTCACTGGACAGTTACTTTAATAATATGCCATTTATTCACACATTGTTTTATAATATACATAACCACTGAGTGCATGCAGTATTAAAATAATTTTGAATTAATTATTCAAGTTATTCCGTTTTGGAATAAAAAATATGGAATTAATACAAGACTCAATACAAAAAGCAAATATGGGATATTTGTACAAAACATTTATTTCAAATTGACATTAAACAAATACAATGGCTTTGCTACATTCGTATCTGAAATCCAGACACAAGCAAACAATTGTCTAAGGGAGAAAATTACTTAAATAAAGAAAACATTTTTGTTCATAAAACATTTACATAGGCAGTATAGACACGATTCTGAGCTATGCAACAAATAATTAGAAAAGTGTGAGGCTTGTAGTAAAATATAGAAAGTACAAAGAAGAGAAAAAAAAGAAAATCTCAAATCAATTGCCAGAGTGCAAACATGATATGAACGCCAATTTATAATCCTAACTCCTAAGACTTCGTTAAAAAAAGCCAAAAGCAGTCTCAACGGTAATATAGTAATGGAAGGGATGTGTTAAAAAAGGTTGTAGAAAAGCATTATGAAGAAAAAAATAAGGTCCCTAGAAATTGATGCAGGCTGTTTTTTCATTGTCCGTCAATAGATGGCAGTGCCAGCACTGTAGCTTCATATCTCTCAGCTATAAAATGTAATGAAAAAGGGGCTAAGTTGAATGTGTCTAACATCATATGCTAGTACTTCACCACTTATGGCCTCGTTAAGTCTATTCTACACAATTTACTTCACACTTCATTCAGTTCCTTCTGCTTTTAGGGTTTAATTTTTTTGTTAATAACTGTAAATATGTACATGTATATTTTGTGAAGCACATAAATACACTCTTAGAAATGTTTGTACAAAGGACGCTACAGGAAATAAACGTGGACTAAATATCCAGAAAAGCTTTCATTCATCTTCTTGTCAGAGCCAAACAATGAGAAACAACGTGATTTGCGTACCTGTTTGTTGACATGTATAAAGGGGTCCAACTTTTTATCAAAACATTATTAGCCTTTTCCCACTACCAAGCCAAACTGTACTTGACAATGTGAAAAGTACTGTTTGGGTCGCTCCTATAGTGTGAATCATGGATTTTAGTTCTGGCTCTACCACAGAGAGAAAGGCTCTCTTGAATTAGAAACTCTATGTGCAGAAATGGTATATGTAATTATGAACTTCTTTGACCGTATGTGCACTGAACATAGTCTTTGATCAGTGCGCCACCATCGAGCAGGACAGGGTTAACCCCAAATGCAGTTCAGCCACTCCTGTCCATTTGATCTCAGTCATGTTGCCCTGTAGCTAAATGTAGTTATGATAATGTAGCAACACATTACTGTGCTCTTCAGTTTTCCAGGGCTGCTGTGTTTGCATAAATAATTACACATAATCATCATCCGTTTAAAATAAATATGTAAATAAATAAAAAATGATGGAACCTTCAGGGCTCTGAGTGATTTTAGGAACTGTTGAGAAACATTTGACTAACAAAAGAAATAGCTATGGACACACACTGGTTGAATCAACGTTGTTTCCATGTCATTTCAATGAAATCCCTTGGAACCAACGTGGAATAGACGTTGAATTGACGTCTGTGTCCAGTGGGGTGAGAATGCATTAATACTGAAAAACAAAATAACTAACAATGCAGTCTATAAAACGTTCCGTTTAGTCACTTCTGCGTTTATAAGAAACAACTTCCTTGCCCTTACCTGCACTTATACACTTTAAATGAGCCTATGGCACGTTTCAATTCATAAACAAATTCTGGAACTTCTAAACAGTAACGAACTACCGTATGAGACATATTTACACACACATGTAAATATTCAAATGGACCATTTCTAACTGTGGTTAAAACTTCTAATACGGTTATGACTCATATCAATCTGCATTTTCAACCATGATTTACAGTATGGTCCATATTTTACTGTAATTTCTTTACAGCGTTGTGCTTAAATGGTCTATCTTTACCTGTAGTTTAAACGTGCAAACTTCTGCCTAATATGGGCATTTGTTACCTGTTGCTCTAAACCCTACATGTGCCAGAGGCCAGTGCATCAAGAAGACGCAGTATCAGTGACAAAAAGCTAGCTAATGCCACTCCTACAAACCAGTGTATGTCCCTGTCCCAGGGGTCAGTATTGGCCTATAAGCCATGTCAGTCGCTCATAGAGAAGGGGCAGGGTGTAAAATCATTTAGATCAAAGGTGAGCTCCAGACCCACCCAATCACCTCTCAGCTTACATCTGTCCACAACAGCCGCTAACATCGTTCTCCAACTCCTCTTTTTTGTTTTGTTTTGTTTTAGAAAGTGTTGGCCTATCAAGGCTGAACATACCAGGCCATATAGGTCGATTACAGTTGATGTCATCTTGTAAGAAGAATCTCTAAATCCTGCATTTCAATTTTTTGTCTTGTTTTAGAGCACTGGTCTATAGGATGAATACAGCAGACTATATTCGCCGATCTTCGAAAGACAACAACATCCGTCTCCAACTCCTCCATTTTAAAAGAAAGCACTGGCCTGAAGGCCGAATACATCAGACCATTTAGGCCGATAAGAGTTGACGTTGTCTTTCAACAATGTTTTTAATTTAATCGCAATCCACACACGTCTCCAAGGCAGCGCCCCCCAGTGGGCTGGGGGTGTCAGGGCATGTCTGCGTGTTTGTAGTAGCCCCTCTGAATGGCAGCAAAGGCGATGCTCTCAGCGGAGCGCCTCTGGTCCAGGCTGAGAAGGGCCTGGAGCAGGACATTGATGTCTGCCTTCAGACCCTCCTTCTGCATCCAGTTCTTCAGCAGGTCGTACACCTTGTCGCCAGGAGGGGCACTATCTGCCATCTTGATGTGGTTGTCATTGACACCGATGTAGCGGAAGAACTTGTTGTGGATCCGCACGTCCAGCCACTCGTCGAAGAGGTCGAAGCTCTTCTTCAGGGACGTCTCCTCTCCTGGGGAGAGAAAGGAGAAGAAGTGGTACCTTGGTTACATCTTTGCTAATTCATTGTTGCTGATATCAAAACTAGGGGAGTTAGTTATAGACAATAAGTAAGTCCAGACTTTCTTCCTGAACTGGTCACATGGTCATGCCCTTTATCTTAGAAAGCATAACTCTTTATCGTGATTTTTCCTTTTCCTGATGATTTCACTTCAATGAATTACAATTCTTAAGCAGAAAACAATAATAAAGCTCTTCTTCAACAATAGATAAACATGTACAGTCATGCACTGAACTAATAGTGCTCTGCATCAACTATTATCTGTTTCTGAATCTGCGGCGGTGTGCTTCCCCCATCACATTTTGTTCATTTTCTCGGTCTTACAATAGAGCTCCTTTTTAGCATCCAAATTGTAAATTGTTGCTAACCTTTTAGTGCCGGAGAATTAACTCATAAAGCAATTAACCACTGAATACAGAGCTAACGAGGTTAAAACGTGGAGCCGTTAGTAAATAAGTGCTACACACACCGAATTTACTTCAGGCAGAGATAAAAACAATGCCAAGCTATAGTGACTACATAATAGTATAGTTCAGTAGCAAAAACTATTTACCTGACAATCACACAGTATTTGTTCTAAACAATACATTTCTATCAGACTGTTCTGTAACAATTCACTGTTCTGAACAGACCGCAGTCAGGTTATGATGAATGTGTTGTTTACGGTGTTTGTGGAACCCCACCCTACAGTGGTGTAGTGGTGCCTGGAGAAGTGGGTATACTCTAATTTTGCCAAAACATTTCCAACCAGCCCGCCCGGGAGGAGGAGGTGTTATGAGAAACAATCACATACACTCTGAATGACCAATATTGATAAATCCCATATTGGTCTTTCACAATCAGGCCAAACCAAGCTGTACTGTGCAAGTAGGCTAATAGTAGGCCTACTATTGAAACAGATAAATGAGGCTGTCAACGGAGTCAGAAACTCACGGGTTTCAGATTTTCCCTATTTTCGCTCTCAAGGTCACACTTCTTTAACAGAAAAACAACAAAATTGTAAGTCCATAACAATGCTTGAACCACATCAGGAGACCACTTTTGAGGTATGGAAAAAATCTAAGAAATTTAGATTTTTGAGTGTAGTTACTCTTTAATTCAAGTGTGCAGGCACCTAGCACTGTTGTTTGGTTAGCTGTGTTTCTGTTGCACATGAGATGGAGTAGGCAAAATAAATGTCCACTGGATTGATGCAAATAATCATGATATCATTCTGACAGGTAGGCATAGGCTACTTTGTAGCTAGTTAACGTTTAATAGAGAAGGTTTTGGGGAAAGCCTTTCAATCTACCAGAAGATGATTAGGCCTATCATTAGCATTGCTATATTTCTCCTGTTCCTTCATTGTTTGACACCTGGATGTTTTACTTCATATTATGAGGCATGTCTTACCTTGCTTCAAAGTAGCCTATTGCCAAAATCCCACCATAGAAACGTAATTATTTATATAAAGACTTACTCATGCGTTCTCCTGTTCTATTGGTTTTCTTTCAACTTTCTTTCATTGTCTAGCAGCCAAAGGCATTATCCTAGTCATATTAGCAATGATACATTTCTAATGGATATTTCCATCTATGCCCATGAAACTGCTTGCATGTGCGGTTCGCATTTTAGAATGCGAATGGTGTTTTCCCGCATTTTCAATTTGGAACAAATAAATAATAGTTTATAAAAAATGTAAGCTACATTCTGATCTGTTCCATCAGCTTTATTCATTGATACAGCGTATACTTTCACCACACTACTTAAATACGTATCAGTGGGGATTAAGAAGTGAGTACACGCAATGCCCACTGAAATATAAGTGGGTATATGGCGTATACCTGCGTATACCCTCCACTACACCACTGCCTCCCTACTAGAACCCGGCCCACCCTCCAGCTGTGCGGGGTCTCTTACCTAGCAGGGGCACCAATTTCTTCTGCAGAGGATCATCCTGAAACACGACAGATGGATAAACAAGAGTTAACCACAGCCCTTCTACAGATTACCGGGGACAAAATCCCTTATCCGTTCAGAAATATTATTAGTATTATGAAAGTCTGCCTTGGTAAAAATACTGAAAACGTGTTATTGCACTTCTCAGGATATGTGTCTGCTGCAGGAACGCACAACTCCAGTCTCCGTGCTCACATGATCTGCTGCTAGCAGGGTATGTTTGGTTTTGTGTCCTAGGCCAAACCTAGCCCCAGGGTCCCTGTCCCCTTCTCCCCCTGCTATCACCATCCCCCCTGTTCCCCTCTCTCGCAAGGTCCCTGTCCTCCTCTAACCTTCTCTTCCCCCATATCCTTCAACATCTCCCTCCCTCCACCGCCCCCCAACCACCTCTCCCTCCTTCTCTCACCCCGGCTGTGGGCTGCAGTCTCTGGGTGGAGGGGCTATGTCGGGGAGAGCTGCTCGATGAGGCTGCCCCGGCGGTGGGCAAGGCCGACAGGCTTGTCTGGGAGGAGCTGGTGGTGTTGGGCAGGCTGTCACCTAGGCCCCGGTCCTCGTCCTCCCCCAGGCTCAGGGGAGGGGAGGCCTTGATCAGCCCACCCTGGGTCTCCTGCAGCAGGGGACGTGACTCGGGACGGACCTCCTCTGCTTCTTCCCCCTCCAGGCCGGCGTTCTGGCTGTTTTGTCTCTCCTCTGCTGTGGGTCCACTCTCATCCTGAGAGAGAGAGAGAGATATATAGAGAGAAAGAGAGAGAGAGAGTGAGGGATATAAGGAGAGGGCATGGAGAGCGAGCGTAAAATATATCATACATATAATCATAATTAGTTGATATGGGTCAGGGCGGTGTGACTAATCTTCTGCCAAGACTAGAAATAGTGAGTGACGCATCACTATGACCTTCGACTGTGTCTCTAAACAGATCAAAGTACACTGAGACATTCTGAGAAGACGCATGAAAACAATTCACCACCAAAGATTCATATACAGCCAACAGACATATACTGATATACACCAGGGATGGTTAACTGGCAGCATGGCCCCCCTTTTGTAGGCCCGCGGATCAATTTTTAGGAACTCAGTCAGGATCTCAACTTACTGTTGAGAGTTATAATAGTAGAATCCACAAGGTGCAATTTCTAAATTTGGTTGTGCATCAGCAGTCACTGGCAGTCACTCAATCAGCCCATGTCAGCTAAAACGTTTAGTGTAGCCAGCTATCTAAACTTGTAGTAATCATGGTTGAATTTACGACCAGGGGCCCCCATTGATTTTGTTGGACACTCAGATATGCAAACATTTCGCTCTGTCCCATGGCAAAATGAGTAGAATTGTATGAAATGAGTTGCGCAATCTTCTCTCCGCCCCATGGCAAAATGTGTAGAATTGCAGAAAACTTGCTTTAAAACTGAAACATTTTCTCCACGCCCCATGGCAAAATGTGTAGACTTGCATGAAATTAACGCTTTGCTGTCAAGAGGGGGGCCACTAAAATGTTGTGCTCGCAAGGTAGCGGTGGGGGTGGGGGACACACAACAAAATGTCACATAGGGCCAGCTCTGACTGCATCTACACTACCGGTCAAAAGCTTTAGGTGTCCACATCACCAACGAACTATCATGGTCCAAACACACCAAGACAGTCGTGAAGAGGGCACGACAAAGCCTATTCCCCCTCAGGAGACTAAAAAGATTTGGCATGGGTCCTCAGATCCTCAAAAAATTCTACAGCTGCACCATCGAGAGCATCCTGACTGGTTGCATCACCGCCTGGTATGGCAACTGCTTGGCCTCTGACCGCAAGGCACTACAGAGGGTAGTGCGTACGGCCCAGTACATCACTGGGGCAAAGCTCCCTGCCATCCAGGACCTCTATACCAGGCGGTGTCAGAGGAAGGCCCTCAAAATTGTCAAAGACTCCAGCCACCCTAGTCATAGACTGTTCTCTCTGCTACCGCACGGCAAGCGGTACCGGAGTGCCAAGTCTAGGTCCAAAAGACTTCTCAACAGCTTCTACCCCCAAGCCATAAGACTCCTGAACAGCTAATCATGGCTACCCGGACTATTTGCACTGCCCCCCCACCCCATCCTTTTTACGCTGCTGCTACTCTGTTAAGTATTTATGCATAGTCACTTTAACTCTACCCACATGTACATACTACCTCAACTACCTCAACTAGCCGGTGCCCCCGCACATTGACTATGCAACGGTACCCCCCTGTATATATAGCCTCCCTACTGTCACTTTATTTTACTGTATATATAGCCTCCCTACTGTCACTTTATTTTACTTCTGCTCTTTTTTTCTCAACACTTTTTTGTTGTTGTTTTATTCTTACTTTTTTGTTTAAAATAAATGCACTGTTGGTTAAGGGCTGTAAGTAAGCATTTCACTGTAATGTCTGCACCTGTTGTATTCGGCGCATGTGACCAATAAAATTTGATTTGATTTGATTTGATTTGATTTTAGAACATCCACTCATTCAAGGGTTTTTCTTTATTTTTACTATTTTCAACATTGTAGAATAATAGTGAAGACATCAAAACTATGAAATAACACATATAGAATCATGTAGTAACAAAAAAAAACACCCTTTGCCTTGATGACAGCTTTGCACACTCTTGGCATTCTCTCAACCAGCTTCATGAGGTAGTCACCTGGAATGCATTTTAGGTGTGCCGCCTTAAAAGTTAATTTCTTTCCTTCTTAATGTGTTTCAGCCAATCAGTTGTTATGTGACAAAGTAGGGGGGTATACAGAAGATAGCCCTATTTGGTAAAAGACCAAGTCCATATTATGGCAAGAACAGCTCAAATAAGCAAAGAGAAATGACAGTCCATCATTACTTTAAGACATGAAGGTCAGTCAATACGGAACATTTCAAGAAGTTCGCAAAAACCATCAAGCGCTATGATGAAACTGGCTCTCATGAGGACTGCCACAGGAATGGAAGACCCAGAGTTACCTGGTAACTCTGGGCTGGTAACTTTAATTAACTTACCTCTGCTGCCGAGGATAAGTTAATTAAAGTTACCAGCCTCAGAAATTGTAGCCCAAATAAATGCTTTACAGAGTTCAAGTAACAGACACATCTCAACATCAACTGTTCAGAGGAGAGTGAATCAGGCCTTCATGGTCAAATTGCTGCAAAGAAACCACTACTAAAGGACACCAATAAGAAGAAGAGACTTGCTTGGGCCAAGAAACACAAGCAATGGACATTAGACCGGTGGAAATCTGTCCTTTGGTCTGGAGTCCAAATTTGAGATTTTTGGCTCCAACCGCTGTGTCTTTGTGAGACGCGGTGTGGGTGAACGGCTGATCTCCGCATGTGTATTTCCCACCGTAAAGCATGGAGGAGGAGGTGTTATGGTGTGGGGGTGCTTTGCTGGTGACACTGTCTGTGATTTATTTAGATTTCAAGGCACACTTAACCAGCATGGCTACCACAGCATTCTGCAGCGATACGCCATCCCATCTGGTTTGGGCTTAGTCGGACTATCATTTGTTTTTCAACAGGACAATGACCCAACACACCTCCAGGCTGTGTAAGGGCTATTTTATCAAGAGAAGGAGAATGATGGAGTGCTGCATCAGATGATCTGGCCTTCACAATCCCCCGACCTCAACCAAATTGAGATGGTTTGGGATGAGTCGGACCGCAGAGTGAAGGAAAAGCAGCCAACAAGTGCTCAGCATATGTGTGAAGTCCTTCAAGACTGTTGGAAAAGCATTCCAGGTGAAGCTGGTTGAGAGAATACCAAGAGTGTGCAAAGCTGTCATCAAGGCAAAGGGTGGCTATTTGAAGAATCTCAAATATAAAATATATTTTGATTTGTTTAACACTTTTTTTGGTTACTACATGATTCCATATGTGTTATTTTATAGTACAATGTAGAAAATAGTAAAAATAAAGAAAAACCCTTGAATGAGTAGGTGTTCCAAAACTTTGGACCGGTAGTGTATGTGGGTACGCAGACCCTCATGATGAAATCAGATTTTTGATCTACACTGATGGTAGATAACATAACCCCAATGACATACTGTAACTAAAGGAATAGAGCGGAAAACTTACGATGGGAATCTTCACGATCTCATTGGAGTCACAGCGACTGTCTGAAGCGGAGAGACAAACTAAAACACATGGAGACAACAACCATATTAGACAACCAATCTACACAGTGTTGTGTCAATATGTATTTCAATACACAGTGTTAGGTTCTAAAGGAACCGAGTAAAACTCACGGACGATTAATAAAGCTCAACCAAGTTTATTCACCCACTGGGTCCCATAGCCACATAAGACAAAATACATGTTCCAACCAGCACAGATATATACAGTTGAAGTCGGAAGTTTACATACACTTAGGTTGGAGTCATTAAAACTCATTTTTCAACCACTCCACAAATGTCATGTTAACAAACTATAGTTTTGGCAAGTCGGTTAGGACATCTACTTTGTGCATGACACAAGTAATTTTTCCAACAATTGTTTACAGACAGAATATTTCACTTATAATTAATTGTATCACAATGACAGTAGGTCAGAAGTTTACATACACTAAGTTGACTGTGCCTTTAAACAGCTTGGAAAATTCCAGAAAATAATGTCACACTTTAGAAGCTTCTGATAGGCTAATTGACATAATTTGAGTCAATTGGAGGTGTACCTGTGGATGTATTTCAAGGCCTACCTTCAAACTCAGTGCCTCTTTGCTTTACATCATGGGAAAATCAAAAGAAATCAGCCAAGACCTCAGAAAAAAAATTGTTTAACCTTGGGAGCAATTTCCAAATGCCTGAAGGTACCACGTTCATCTGTACAAACATTAGTACGCAAGTATAAACACCATGGGACCATGCAGCCGTCATACCGCTCAGGAAGGAGACGCGTTCTGTCTCCTAGAGATGAACGTACTTTGGTGCGAAAAGTGCTAATCAATCCCAGAACAACAGCAAAGGACCTTGTGAAGATGCTGGAGGAAACAGGTACAAAAGTATCTATATCCACTGTAAAACAAGTCCTATATCGACATAACCTGAAAGGCCGCTCAGCAAGGAAGAAGCCACTGCTCCAAAACCGCCACAAAAAAGCCAGACTACGGTTTGCAACTGCACATGGTGACAAAGATCGTACTTTTTGGAGAAATATCCTCTGGTCTGATGAAACAAAAATAGAACTGTTTGTGACCATCGTTATGTTTGGAGGAAAAAGGGGGTTGCTTGCAAGCCGAAGAACACATTTACATTACATTTTAGTCATTTAGCAGACGCTCTTATCCAGAGCGACTTACAGTTAGTGAGTGCATACATTATTTTTATTTTTCATACTGGGAATCGAACCCACAACCCTGGCGTTGCAAACGCCATGCTCTACCAACTGAGCTACATCCCTACCGGCCATTCCCTCCCCTACCCTGGACAACGCTGGGCCAATTGTGCGCCGCCCCATGGGCCTCCCGGTCGTGGCCGGCTAAGACAGAGCCTGGATCATCACACCATCTCAACCGTGAAGCACAGGGGTGGCAGCATCATGCTGTGTGGGTGCTTTGCTGCAGGAGGGACTGGTGCACTTCACAAAATAGGTGGCATCATGAGGAAGGAAAATTATGTGGATATATTGAAGCAACATCTCAAGACATCAGTCAGGAAGTTAAAGCTTGGTCGCAAATGGGTCTTCCAAATGGACAATGACCACAAGCATACTTCCAAAGTTGTGGCAAAATGGCTTAAGAACAACAAATTCAAGGTATTGGAGTGGCCATCACAAAGCCCTGACCTCAATCCTATAGAACATTTGTGGGCAGAACTGAAAAAGCGTGTGCGAGCAAGGAGGCCTACAAACCTGACTCAGTTACACCAGCTCTGTCAGGTGGAATGGGCCAACATTCACCCAATTTATTGTGGGAAGCTTGTGGAAGGCTACCCAAAACGTTTGACCCAAGTTAAACAATTTAAAGGCAATGCTACCAAATACTAATTGAGTGTATGTAAACTTCTGACCCACTGGGAATGTGATGAAAGAAATTAAAGCTGAAATAAATAATTCTCTCTACTATTATTCTGACATTTCACATTCTTAAAATAAAGTGCTGATCCTAACTGACCTAAGACAGGGAATTTTTACTAGGATTAAATGTCAGGAATTGTGAAAAACTGTTTGAATATATTTGGCTAAGGTGTATGTAAACCTCCGACTTCAACTGTATATACTCCAATTTAGGTGAACTCCTCCTTCCCTCTAAACATTACATGCAGGTAAGTGATGCAGGTAATAAACTGTTCCTTCTCCCTTAATGTGACCTGACCTCGGCCCCCATTCCTCACTAATCCACAGCTCTCCACCCTTATCAGTGACTGCAACCTTTCCTTTACTCAGTACATTCCAAGCTTAATTGCCTCCACCATATATATTCCTCCTACAGATAACCATTAACTTCTGGTGTATAAACCAGACTATGGCACTCCTCATGTCTATAGGATACCTGATGATTAACAATATTTCAAGTTTAGAAGTCAGAACCCATCAACAGCGAGTGGCAAGGGACATTTGTTTTTGTTACTCACCTGGCCGAAATGTACATGGCCTCTTGATCCAAAGCCACAAACCAATCCCAATGGAGAGGAGGAAGAACAAGAGCAGAATGACCAATGGCGTAACTTTTGGGGAGGAGAAATGAGGAAACACAACCAATCAGAATCACATCTCAGACTTGGTAGAAAATATGCATTTTCACAATAAAACACCCCATAACCTATGACTTCACTAAAGTAGGAATTTACGCTCCACTGACAAGAAAGTGTCATGTTATTTAAGCTGAAAAAATATCAGTATCAACTATATGCAGTTCATTCTGTTTATTTGATCTGTCCTCAATAAAAAAGATTAAGAGCCTATAAAACAGAGAGGTAAAGACATATGTAGGCCTACCCATTTTCTCTGGTGAGCTGGGGGCGGGGGTGGGGAGGGTAGGTGGGTGGAGGGTAGGAGAGATGTCCCGTTTCCTACACACAGTGTTGGAGATGGGGGTGCATTTCTTCACCACCTCCTCCCCCGCTTTACACCTAGGAAGACAAGAAAAAAGGAATTAGTATTTTTTTTTTGAAGGGGCTAGTGCAGTAAAAATGACATAATACTAAACTCAGATCAGTTTGTGCGGTCTTGCCAACTCCTATGGTCATGCCAATGACAATAGAAGTTGGCTATAGAGTAAAAACTGATCTAAGTCCAGGCTGCTGTTTAGTAGGCCTACTGGGGTGATTTCTGGACAGAGATCTGGTGGTTTTAATGTTCTAAATGTTTAGGGTGGCACTCACTTGGCACATCTCTTGCAGACCTCACAGGCCTGCTCTGGCACACAGAAGGTGCCCGCTCGACACTGGCACTCGGTGTCTGTGGTACTGGTACAGGGCACCGTCTCGCTCTGATCTGAAGAGGGAGAAAAAAAGAGAGAGAGAGCGAGAGAGTGTAAGTACTAATATACACTACATGACCAAAGGTATGTGGACACTTGCTCGTCGAACATCTCATTCCAAAATCATGGACATTAATATGGAGTTGGTCCCCCCTTTGCTGCTATAACAGCGTCCACTGGAACATTGCTGCAGGGACTTGCTTCCATTCAGCCACAAGAGCATTAGTGAGGTCGGGCACTGATGTTGGGCGATTAGGCCTGGCTCGCAGTCTGCGTTCTAATTCATCCCAAAGGTGTTCGATGGGGTTGAGGTCAGGGCTCTGTGCAGGCCAGTCAAGTTCTTCCACACCAGGCCTCCCGAGTGGCACAGCGGTCTAAGGCACTGCATCGCAGTGCTTGAGGCGTCACTACAGACCCGTGTTCAACCCCAGGCTGTGTCGCAGCCGGGAGACCCATGAGGCGGCGCACAATTGGCCCAGCGTCGTCCGGGTTAGGGGAGGGTTTTGCCGGCCGGGATGTCCTTGTCATATCGCGCTCTAGCGACTCCTGTGGCAGGCCGGTCACAGTTGTACAGTGTTTCCTTCCGGGTTAAGCGAGCAGTGTGTCAAGAAGCAGTGCGGCTTGGCAGGGTCGTGTTTCGGAAGACACATGGCTCTCGACCATCGCCTCTCCCGAGTCTGTACGAGAGTTGCAGCGATGGGACAAGACTGTAATTACGAATTGGATATCACGAAAAAGGGGTAAAAAGTAAAATAATATATGTTCTTCCACACCGATCTCGACAAACCATTTCTGTATGGACCTTGCTTTGTGCACGGGGGCATTGTCATGCTGAAACAGGAAAGGGCCTTCCCCAAACTGTTGCCACAAAGTTGGAAGCACAGAATCGTCTAGAATGTCACTGTATGCTGTAGCGTTAAGATTTCCCTTCACTGGAACTAGCCCGAACCATGAAAAACAGCCCCAAAACATTATTCCTCCTCCACCAAACTTTAGAGTTGGCACTATGCATTGGGGATTCGTCCGTCGGACTACCAGATGGTGAAGCGTGATTCATCACTTCAGAGAACCCAAGTCCAATGGCGGCAAGCTTTACACCACTCCAGCTGACGATTGGCATTGCGCATGGTGACCTTAGGCTTGTGTGCGGCTGCTCGGCCATGGAACCCATTTCATTAAGCTCCCGACGAACAGTTATTGTGATGACGTTGCTTCCAGAGGCAGTTTGGAACTCAGTAGTGAGTGTTGCAACCGTGGACAGGTGATTTTTATGCGCTATGCACTTCAGCACATGCTGGTCCCATTCTGTGAGCTTGTGTGGCCTACCACATCGCGGCTGAGCTGTTGCTGCTCCTAGATGTTTCCACTTCACAATAACAGCACTTACAGATGACCGGGGAAGCTCTAGCAGGGCAGACATTTGACGAACTGACTTGTTAAGATTGCATGGCTGTGTGTTTGATTTTATACACCTGTCAGCAACGGGTGTGGCTGAAATCACAGAATCCACTAATTTGAAGGGGTGTCCACATACTTTTGTATATATAGTGTATCATACATTCAATAATACAGGTAACAGTTTATTTTACACACCGAACTGGTATATATTACTAAGTTATTATTACTAATCGTTCTAATGTTTACTGTGAGATGTGTATGCACTGAAGCACACATGTAATAAATCTCTTTCTCAGTGACTAAGCACAAAACATGTCACTCCCTTGTAACAGTCATCTCCTTTCAGTGGGTCAGGCCTTTCATATGGCACAAAGACACACGGTGTGGGAGACAATACAACAACCACACCGAACTGCTTTGCAAGGTAAAGTACGCACACACACGCACTACAGGTAACACGCACACTCTGCATTCAGTTTGTGTGAAAAAAAACAAAGAAAGGCACACCCTCGTATGCCATGTAAAACCACTGGATCAAATTATCATGGAGCTTTGAGGTCAGGGAGAAAGCGACCATGTATTCTTCTGCCCTCTCTGGAACAAAAGTCTATTAAGCTAAACTGTGAATGCCCAATGCTCCATGAATAGACTTCCGGAATGGGTGTCTACCTTGGTTAATCGTTTATGAATTGGCAACAGATACAAGAGAGAGACATTGTGGTTAGCTAATAGCTAACTTCATGTGAAATGGAGAGAGTCTCTTCTTCTAACGACACAAACTTGTTGTAAGACAGTTCTTTAAGGACAGCTAAAAGAGGGCAGGTAAGAGGTAAAAGGACAAACAACAGTTACAGGACTACAAATAAAAGTCAGAGGAATCCATTACCCTTGCGGCAGTGCGTGCAGGGCAGGCAGCTGTTCATCCCGTTGGAGTGTTCTGTGTAGGTGTGGCCATGCTCGCAGGACATACATGTCCCCTGCTCCATGTCCCGGTCACACGCCCTCTGCACGAACGTACCTGTCCATCAATAAACCCATCAATCAATCAATACATTTTTTACAAATATAAATAGTCTATTATACCCTGTTTATTTGTTTGATTAATACTTAACAATAACCTTATTGAGGTCAAAATACATATTTAGCCTGATGCATTTCTTCGAGTAAGACAAAGGGGTGGTGTGCTTGTGTATGTGTGTGTTGTGATGGTGGTCGGGTGTGTGTGTATGTGTATGTGTGTGCTTTTTCTATGTCTAACACTGGAACAGAGACACATAGCCATGGCGTATGTAAACTATATACTACTGCAGTGGTTTTGTGTCTACTTTCTTGGTTGTAATGTAACATTCCCATTTTTCACGCTCCGTTCACACATGCCATGCTTTAGGCACCTGATTATCATGTGTTTAGAGAAAAGACAGTCCGATACTAGAGCAATAGAGGGAAGAAGGGAGCGTGAGAAATGTACAGAGGAAAAGCTTGAAAAGGTCATTGGCATTCCTGACTAACTAGCTAGAGATAGAGGCAGCGCAGTCTGTCTCTCTGCCTTTTCCTATCTGACTGACCTAAAAAGGTCCAAACAGGTCATCTAATTGGAAATAGCAATAGTCCTTGGCTCATTCCACAGCGCTGGCATCAGTAACGCAGTGGTGAAGTTTTAATGGGACTATTTCAGCTAGTAACACCACTTTTAAAAAAGAAACCCTACTCCCTCCCTTAATGTTTACTACTGGGTGTTGTTACAGAGCCTGGGTTGGGTTCCCTGCCGCTAGCTTGGGCATAGGTTCCGCTCTGCTATCCTCACATAGTTGGCATTACTCTGACTCTAAGGCACAGACTCTAATAATGTAGCTGTAAATACAGGCAGAGTTCCCTCCTCTCTGGAAGGCCTGTTGATAATGTATCATAAGGACTGGTTCTAGCTTGGGTTCTATGTTCTGTTTATAAGGCGTGATTCTAGTTCTGGTTCTGGGCTCAGGTTCTAGTAGCTCTGATTCTGCTGGCCTGTACTGATAGCCTGGCAGTGTATATAACCAAAGTTCTCGCTTGGGTTCTAGATCAGATTTTGGGACTGGGTTCTCCTTACCGGCCTGGCAGTTGAGGCAGCAGAGGTCCTGGTGGAGGTACTGATGGTTCTCCAGACAGGTTCTGTGTCGCTGCGTCCGGTTCCTGTCATCGCTGGACCACTGGGCCGCCAACACGCCACTCAGCTCCGCCCCACAGTATGCCAGCCCCGAGCACAGCAGGAACACCACCACCTAGAGGAGGCAGGGATGGAGAGAGGGAGAGAATTTCATTTATTTATTTAACCCTAAGTTAACCAGGCATGTCAATTAAGAACACTGTGACGACCTGGAAAGGGCAGTGCAGCAAGAGAGAGAGTGAGAGAAAGAGTGGGAGAGAGAGAGAGAGAGAGAGAGAGAGAGAGAGAGATTGCTCACATTCATATCATACAGGAGGGAGAGGTTCACATTACCAGTCTATATACACACACTCACTCGCCCACCCGCATGGGAGCGGGGAGAGAAGAGAGTCTCTGTTCTCATAAGAAACCGTGTGTGAGCAATCTGGGCCCTAATTTGAACCATCTGATCTAAACATCTGCAGAGGAAAGCCAATTAGGAGAGCAGGCCGGAGTTAGAAAACAGACAGAACAACCTAACATCTGTAATTATGCAGAGTTTACACCATGTACTGGTGTTAAATGTTGAATTAAGGCACGGGCCATTCAGTACAGTTGTTGAAGTAGGATTCTAGGCATGTTGAATGGCCAGGTCACGTGGCATCAATGTTCTGGGGTTCAGAGAAGATCCCAGGCATAAAGACATAAAGGGAGTTCAAAACAGATTTTTTGAAATGTGGTGGTGTGCAATACCATTTTATTCAATAATATCTCATTCTAAACTGGCAAAAATATAAATATATATATATTTATAATATATATATATATATTTTTTTTTTACACATGCACAGACAGACACTTCAAAACAGACAGTTCAAAGCGTATCCAAACAATTTCAATATATTCAAAATGTGATTTTGGTTAAATCCATTGTCTTGGACAACCATAATCCTCTCTAGTGAGGAGACTATGGGGATTGATAGGGTATCCTATAGCTAACGCTACCATGTTGCTTCCCATATCAGATGTGATTCCAGTAATCCATAAATGTGCTGGATAATATCAGGGCTTGTATGGATGGGGGGGACAGAGTAGAATACAGCGGAGCACTTTAGTGTGGCCCCCAGGCACCGGTGTTTGTTCACACGCCTTTTCACCGTGTCACTGTGAGAAGGCCCTATTCACCGGCGAACAACACGCTTTAGTGCCTCTACTTCAAATGACCCACATTCTTAAACCCCAGCGCTTTGACTAGGCCGACATGCGACACCGCCACGAAGCAACACGACACCTCCTTGTGTAAATGGGCAGCCTAGTTTTGGTAGGTTTTGTCTCTCTCTCGTAGACCCCACCCTCCCACCCCCATAACTGGCACACAGCGCTCAGTTCAATCGAACCCACAATATTTACACAATAGCTCTTTTGTTTTTCCCATGGTCAAATAACATAACGTATTGAAATCACAGATTTCTGGTACTATAAAAAAACGTTATAGTATTACCAGGTATACTCCCCTCAAAGGTAGAGTTCCAGTTTTCAGAATAGGTCTGTGTGTGCACGGGCAGTAGTTTGTAAGCAAAGACAGTGTATGAACATAGCAACTATTCCAATGGTGGGTTATATGGAATTCCTGGGAAACTAGTGGAGTTGACTCCTGACAGACTGGAGTTGACTCCTGACTCTCACAGACTGGAGTTGACTTCTTAATCTTAGACTGGAGTTGACTTGTGTCAGACTAGAGTTGACTCCTTACAGACTGAAGTTGACTCCTGACAAACAGACTTGACTCCTGACTCTAAGCTCCTGTCGTTCCTCACTTGGCTCTGTGGAAGGCGGCCATGCCTTGTTGTTCACAGGGAGTTTCCTGGCCGGTGCAGCGCTGCTGTGCAGCCGCCGAGCCTCTTGCTGGCTCTCTCCTTCTCCCCCCTCCCACCCCTTCTCCCCTGCTCACGTCAGACTTTCCACAGACATGTGGAGGCAGAGCGGAGGGGCCGACAACCGGCAGAGCACTCACAATCACACCATTTAGCTTTATCCAAACATAGTGAGAGAGAAGAGGCAAAGAGAGGGGGGAGAGAGAGAGAGTGAGGGCAGAAAGAGAGAATGAGAGAGAAGGGTGCGAGAGGAAAAGATAGAGGGTCTAACAGCTTGTAAGATTGTACAGAGAGAGTTAAAGAGTTGAGTGTGTGACAGTGAGGGAGGGGAGAGGGGGGAAAGCAAAGGACTGAGGCCGTGTGAAAAAGAGGGAGAAAGAGGAAAACGACAGCATGCTTGTGAAAGAGGGAAAGAGAGAAAAAGGAGAAAAGCACAGGGAAGAGAGAGGAGAGCTTGAGCCATGCATTGGAAGCACACTATAGACAAGAGAAGTAGTGAAACCATGACGAATCCCATTAACAGTCATCAGGCTTGCTTAGAAGCGTAACCATGGTTATGTGCCCAATCAAAAGCCTGAGGGGTATACTACAAAGCAGGATCAACGAGTTAGCCAGCTAACTTTGATAAACAAGCAGAAATAACTAGATTTTTTGGTTAATTAAGAAAGCTAAACTTTTTGGTTGTTGGGTCATTTAGACCATGCCCATTTCAAGCTTATCCCCCCAAAAAAATGTTTGGCAAGTTAGATAGCTAACTCCTAGCTTTAGTAGTATACCCCTCAGGTGGCTACTGGAAAATACACACACAACACATGCACACACAGACACACATCAGACACACGGACACAAACACAAACACACAACCACATGCACGAAGGGCTGCTGAGCACTGACATAACATCCTGTCTGAGTGCATTCCTGGGCCTGTGGATCACTAGATTCCTCCATGCAGAAGCCATCCCATCCTCACAGACAAACCTGTTCTTGTCTCAGCAGTTTAGAGGCGCCCCACAGAGGGAAAAGGTCACTTTATGGGGCGAGAAATATCTAACAATGGAATTTTCCCATTGAGCCATGGCCATTAGCGAGAGAGAGTTTCTTGTGTGACTGAGGTTTGCTGCTCAAGCATTGAATTGGGGAAATAGTCTGTCTATTCTGCTAAATGACTTCCATATTGTACAGTAAGCTCTTGGTATGAAACGGAGTAGTAGACAGACATATTGTACAGTATTAAGTCCTAAATGCAGACATTTTAAATGATGCCTCAAAACCTGATCGACCAACATTACAGCTACCTGTACCCTTGACTACAGGCCTTACCACTTTTCACACACCTTTTGTGTAACTGCCTGCACGTTCATTTCACACTGGTTATTTCCTTGTAGTTACTAGGGTTGGGCGATATCCAGATTTTCATATCATCATACTGTCCTTCTTTCATTGTACGGTATTACTGGCTTAGCACACAAGGGGGCGCCCCAAAAAGTCAGCAAAAAAGCCCATTAGGCGTCTATTACCAGAATGCTAATTTTGTGCTTCAGTTGCACTTCTCCATTCGGATGAAAATGAACGGGCATTCTATCAGCAGACAATGCTCTGACTGATGTGTAGCTACTTTTCTCCAGTACTTTTCGGTGTAGCCTACTTTTCTCAGGTAAAATGCAAGATTAACTTTAAACAAAACATTAGGAAATGTAGCTGGCTTTCTATGATGAACATTATACAAATAATGGCCATGCATCGTTTCTACAAAAAATAGCGTTGCACATCTGTTGTCATCGGATGAAAATGAAGCTATTTTCTGCCAAATGTGCACTAATGTATTTTCTGTGAAGGAAAACTATGGTTGCATGACCCTGATCACTCTATTAAAGCAACTAAACACTGTTGACTTCAATATAAAACACAACCCATGCCAATACACAGCTGGACTCACCTGCTCCTGCTTTCTCCATTGTGCTATTTACAAACAAACACGTGACTGGCTCAGCTGTTCTGGGGAACTACGGTAAGCTTAATAAATATACAATAATGTGACAGGTGAAATTAAGAACGCAATCAGCTTTATCTCCTAACGTTTTGCACAAGTTGACTGCAGGTATTTACTTTAAAAGTATCCACAAATATGAACATGTATTGAAAAACTTCAAATAAATCGTTTCATGGTATTGACCTGATTATGTAAACACTGGGCAGTACACACGTGCAACACGCACGCACGCACGCATGCACACACGCACACACGTTTGTTTTACTATCCTTGTGGGGACCAAACAATTGATTCCCATTCTAAATCCTATTTTCCCTAACCCCTAACCCCAAATCCCTAACTCTAACCCTAAACCCTAATTCTAACCCTAAGCCTAAAATAGCCTTTTTTGTCCGAATTTTGATTGGTTTACTATGACTTCTGGTCCCCACAAGGATAGTAAAACCAAACACACGCACACACACACACACACAGACACACACACACTCTTAGATCAGCCACAATGTGGTAGAGTTTTCATAAGGAAGAGGACCGTAGTGGCCACCTTAACCTCAGTGCCGAGAGAGAGCTCTCCAAGTCCTAAAGCCACAATCCCATGTCTCTGGCAGCCCACCAATATTAAATACTCTAGTGTGGTACAGTACAGCATACATCCTGCCCTGCACATGGCAGAGAGAGAGAAAGAGAGAGAAACAGAGAGATAGAGAAAGAGAGAGAGAGAGAAACAGGGAGCGAGAGAGAGAGAGCAAGAGAAAGAGTGAGCGAGAGGGAGAGGGAGAGAAAAAAAGGGAGAGCAAGAGAGACCGCGAGAGAGAGAGAACGGGAGAGAGAGAGAGAGAAAGAGAGAGCGAGAGAAAGAGAATGAATGGACTGCAGCTTTTGTGAGCTTCACTGTCCCTCAGTCCGGCAGCAGTTACTCTCATCCAGTTCCTGTCATTGCCAGGGGTACTTCCAAATTGCCCTGCAACACTTAACACATGCCACTGTGTACACTGAAGTTGTATTTATTGCTGAATGACAGGACCCCCTTTCAGCTGAGCAGGTTATCAATGTGGTATTTAGAGGGGTTTTATTCCCCTCCTGTGGGTCGTACAGTGACATCATTATCTCAGGGAGAACGGGGAAAAGACACACACACACAGCAGAGGGGTCAAGGCAGAATGTACTTTATTTGATATAGGACAGATGATTTCAATCATAGCCATATCTGATAAGGAGCAGCAGGCTGTACCTCATTACACCCCTGGGGAGTGGGACGCTGACCCTCCTCTGTATCCCAATCATGCCTTTCCCATTAGCCTCTCATCCATTATCTGGGAGGGAAATACGTGTTAGTGGGGATACTGTACACCCATCCGCTCAGACTAATTGGACAGGCGGATGGAGGAAACAGGCCCTGATATGGAGGTTCAGATTAGTTAAGGAAAGTATTGCTAAGAGGAAGGTAGGCTGAGATAGAAACACAGGGAGTGGAGAGACGCTTAAGGGGATACAGTGGGGGAAAATTTGATCCCCTGCTGATTTTGTACGTTTGCCCACTGGTAAAGACATGATCAGTCTATAATTTTAATGGTAGGTTTATTTGAACAGTGAGAGATAGAA